GTTATGTGTGTCATCCTTGCGCAGGGGCCATGCTAATCTTCATTCTCTGTATTGTTCCAATTTTAATGGATGTCCCAAAGGACACAACCTTGGCCAATCTACCAGCAGTCACAACACATTTTGCTGCATTGGACATGGTCTGTGTACAGTGTGTAGCAAGTTGCCAAATCTCTTTTTTGAAGTTTTTTGAACTTTTTCAACTTTTTTCCAACTTCGGTTTTTTTTTTTTTTTTTTTTTAAATTATTTTGGACTGTTTCTCTGTCATCCTTGCACAGGGACCATGCTTATCTTCTCTGTATCATTCATTCCAATTACAAATATCATTTTCAGCCACATATGCATGTCATACTTGCACAGGGGCCATGCTAATCTTCTGTGTATCGCTCCAATTATAGTGGATGATCGAAAGGACGATTTTTTCACACACTTCACATGCTTTTCAACATCAATAGGCAATGACATGACATGGAAAACACTTCCTTTGCTATCAGGTATACCAAGAATCATTGACATACATTCCCACCTATAAAAAATACTCCCTTGTTTGAGAAGGTGCAGAAGGGGATATCGGATATCCCTTCGGCCGCCAGCACGCCCCAACAAGTCCCCTGTCCCCTATGCCCGTTAACATGGGGCCACAGCCAGTTTTGACTTACTGGACCACCCTCTGGTAGGCCCCAACCCCAGGACAGTTCAGTAGCCGAGGGGCAGCAAAGCCCCGCATTGGAAAAAGAAGGGTCTCAGGCGTACTGGTGCGATCCACTGCTTTGTATAACCTAGGACAGAGATTATTCCACTGCTTTGTATAACCTAGGGTTTGAACTTTCGACTATGTCAGCGATCCGGACCTCCGGACAGAGATCCGGACTGTCCAGTGTCCGGTGTCCGGACCTCCAGAAGCTATTCAAGTGCAAGCGAATCCTGAAACATTTCGTCAGTTCGGATTGTTCTCTGCAACTTGAGAACATGAAGTTGGAATCGCTAGTAATCGCGGATCAGCATGCCGCGGTGAATATGTACGTATAGATGTGGTGCATTCAGGTAGCAGCCAGATATACGCTTTCACATTTTAATATTTTATGTGTCACTTTTAGTCAAAATTTGACATATCTCACCTGTAACTTTTTTGGCTCGGTTTCATAATGTATAATATGATCTGTTATTCTCCGTGTTCGGTGGCACACGCGGAAGTCGTGTTCATGATTGCCCTGCAGATCCAAGGACACACAACACACAAAAACATCGACTGTCAAGCGTACAACAGCAGAAAGCACGGAATCCCACGCACTTTCTACTTCTTCGCCCTCCCTTCTCTGCCAGTAGAACAGAAGAAAATCCCAAAAGAGGTTAATCCATCACTCCTGAATCCTGATGCGTGCTTCACGGCACCTGCTGTGCACCCGACCCTGATATGTCGGACTGGGGTGTTTTTTTTTTTTTTTTTTTTTTTTTTTTTTTTT